CAGTCTCTTTGTGATCCTGTTAGTATTGCTTGGTTACTTTATGGTGAACGTATGTTAACACAAGAAGCAGTTAGTAGAGTGGTGTCAGCTAGTCCCTCTATTCCTAATCAACGGGAGGCTCTATTAACTGCTGTCAAAGAAGCTGTTCAAACTGATCCCAACAGTTTACATACATTTGCTAATGTATTGTGTACAATCAGTACTAATGTATCACTGGGACAAACTATACTGGATGATATTAGTGAGTATTATAATAATGGTGTCGTTGCATTATGTTGTGTTGTTAATTGAACTGTTCTTTATGTGTTTAGGTAAGTATTTTCCTACTCCCGAAGTGGGTGTGGTTACTGAGACTATTAAAGATCATGGTGTAGTTCCACAAGGTAATAATTATTAATGAAATGATAATACATTCATTAATATCTATAGCTACTACAAGTACTGCTGATGAACCCAATACAACACAATCTGGTATGTAGTAACCATCATGCTTCATTTTTTATTCGTTTTAATCCATAGTCACATCTAGTCCTTCTGATGGAGCAGTTGCTAGTAATTCATCTTCACAACCTTTATCACCTAAAGGTAGACAATATACCTTTTATGTAAACTAATGGTATCTTTTGTATAGTTGAAGTACAAGTTCCTGTATCGGAAGGATTAATGGGAGATTTTACGTCAATGAGAATGTCTTATGGAAGCATGTTTTACCATGCTGGGAAGATTATTAAGCGAAAATCTCCTCCTTTAGAAGAAATAAAAGAATTTCTTTCTTGCTGTAGCACTTTTCTTGGACGAAAAGCAGAACAATGTAGCAATCTTTCTAGTGTCTTGCATCTTATTCAAAATGAGTGTTCACTGACTAATATTGCACCTCTTTGTAGTGTAGTGGAGGAAATGGAGATCACTGAGGCAGAGGAACACATTGAGAAATATAGAACTGAGTTAAAGGAATTCTGCAAGTCACTCTCCATTAGTCTTTGTTTGGAGGAAAGGGTTTTCTTCAATTCCTCATCTTCAATGTCAGACAGTTACTCTTTTATTTGATTGGGAGCCTGAGGAACATTTACTCAAAGATATCATGGAGCTCCTTGCAAAAGTATCCGGTAAACTACTGAGGATTGAGTATACAAAACGAA